AAGATATACATATGTTGACCAACCTTTGGAGAACTCAAAGATGCACTTGATAACTAGAAAGAAAGATAGCCCTATAAAACCCATGACTCAAATTATCTTGCCTTCTGCAATCGTAGAAATAGTTTATGTCGATTTGTCAGCATTAAAATGTGTACAAGTCATCCCGTTGACTGCGTGTACTCTGCCCGAAGCCATGATGTTTAGGTAATGGTAAATGAGATCTTTTCCTACCTCTCATGTTTTATTTGTAATCTAAACCAGAAACCTGTCTATAACCATTCTTTTATTTTATAATGACAAGGTAAACTATAACTTTCGATGAAACCAAGAAGCAGTATCCAAGTGGTTCCACTAAAGAAGACAGAAGTTGATATATTTAAATCTATATTTCTCTAAAGTTTCCTCTGTGCAAAAAAAAAAAAAAGCAGATTTTCAATGCAGCATACTCTATAGGTTTTGGCTTTCATGGTAACTAAGGAGGGAAAGGATTTATAAGTCAAAAGTCAATCATTTTGAAATGAATAGGGGCAAAGACCGAAGAAACCCTATCAAATTGATGATCGATGAAGTTGCTGGTGACCAGGAATAGGAGCACTTTCAAATGCAATAAGTACTCCTAATACCCTGTTGATGGGCACATCAAAGCCTACACATCGCTACTTGGGTTCAGGATGGAAGGAGCAGGGTAAAAAGATTCCAAAGAGCCAGGGGAAGCGGATTCAGTGAAAATGCACCACAAAGACCAGAGGGAAAACTCTGGAAACTGCTGGATCATCAGATCAATAGACTCAAAGATGACTAAGTTAGGTTGCTTTATGCAGTTTAAACATTTGTGCGGGGAGTCTCCCCATGCCGCCTTTTATTGGCAGCTACAGATCAATGGTAATTTTTGATCATTTTCAACCTACATAAACCTATTGACCCCACGGCCACCTTTGGGGCACTTCAAGTCGTCAAAAATAATGCGAGGCCGTGGAGTGAAATTGTCAGACTGCTGAAGACTTCAAGTAGTTTCGTGTGCCCCCTGGAGCAGAGTTGAGAGGTTCAAATGTAGTTCAAATTGGCAGCAGAACCCCACCTGGCAGCATGTTCCAGGGGGTTGTCCGTATGTCTCCCGGAAGGACGTGCTGATTGGGATCCAGACCCTGTCCCTTGGGCATAGAAGTTAAGGAGGGGGGGCTAACAAAATGAGTTAATAGACTTCTGGAATAAAAAGTATGACTATTATGGGGATGTGGACATGCAGAAGAGAAAGAGAAAAGGGAATCCCAGAGGTCAGGGATCAGAGAGGAGTAAAATGAGTTTTAATGATGACTTGTACGAGTCGGTGGGACAGAATGCTATGTTTCCAAAGAAATGAATTGCATACAAGGCATGAAGACTGGCCATGCTCAAGCCAATATTCTGAGCATAAGGAAAAGAACGCACAACTGAATTAACAAGACGCAGCCCCGCCCCAGAGTGAACTGTGCCCAAATGTTACAGCAGGATTTGCAAATAGGGGACTTCGATGTTGGAAATCTAGTCAGAAGAAAATAATACAAATTATTTCCTAAAATGTCAAAGAATAACTTGGTAAGGGTGGTTTTGCCATTTTTAAATTTTCATTTTGTTTCCATTTGGCCTTCGCTAAACGTTGACAACAAGCAAGGCTATTAATGTGATTTATTTAAGGGGTGTGTGTGTACGTGTGTGTTTTGTAGCTCTTCAGAAATAACAAATCAACTCCATACAGGAACTTGTCCTCAGCATATGTTTATGATGTAAAAAGTGTCCTTTATATTTTCCAATATGTGAGCATTTCTTTTTTTCTTTGAAAGAAGTAGACCAAATTAAGCCAAACAGCTGTTCTGATCACCTTTTGTGAGAGTAGATCTCTCCACATTTCTGTGCCCGGCAGGCATGAACTTCAGCTTGAGATCTTCAGGTGTAATTTCTACCTTAGATGATGAAGGTTTTGGAGACCAGGGCATTTTGAATACTTCTGCTTTCAAGGATCTGAGCTATAAATGCGCGTTGAAAGAATCTATAATGAAATCAGTTGTGTTATTTTTGTAATGGTTGCCTGGCGTGTGTGGGGTGACTGAATGCCGGTGGTTAATCATTAAGGACTCATCCTACCAGAAGTGTTTGATAGTATTGCCATCTAGGGGCTGAATAGAACTCTCGGCCCTGAAATAAACTGTAATTGAGCAGGTGCTGCTATTGACAATATACATATGTTTTTGCTTTATAACCCACATGTTTTTCATGTTTCTTCTGACAAAACCTCTCTCTAAATGTCCCCCAACTGTCTACCTGTGTTATAGGTAATCTGTTAGAGGTGATTACTATTTGCTTTGGAGCTTAATGCTTTTTTTTTTTTTTTTTTTTGGCATCTATTACTGAATATTCTGAACAAAGAAGTTTTCTTTTCTGCATTATTAATCTTGACCATGTTTGCCCTATTTCCACAGAAAAGGAATCACTTATCAGAAAAGAGTGTTTGTAATCGGGACTTGTAGCATCTTTAGATTTAATATTCATTATGGTCATTCGAGTCCTGTGCTATATTTATCTAAAAAACCAATCCAGTGTTGTGGAGAAATAAGTTTTAAATATTAATGATCGAACTTTTAATATTTTAAAAAAGAGAAATTAGTCTTTCTGTAAAATTTGTTTCAGAGTCTGGTCGCTTAGCAAATGTTTAAATATTAAAAGATTTCAGGAGGTTCGCATGTAATGTCCTAATGGCACTTATGGAAACAAGAAAATTGACTTTACTAGTTTTTGATAAGAAAAAGAAAGTATATTCTCTCTGCTTGTAGTTAACACAACACAAGAAGAAACATTAACACAATTGAAACTTATAACCAAGAATGTGAGAAAAGTGTCAAAAACTATTTCTACGGTATGTTTTGGTTTTGTCTTATGAGTTTTCTATTTGTTTGTTTTTCATTTTATTATGTTTATTTTTTTCTTTATTGATATTAGAGAGAAAGGGAGAAAAGAGAGAGTGAGAAACACCAATAAGAGAGAACATCGATTGGTTGCCTCCTGCATGCCCCCCACTGGGGATCGAGCCCACAACCTGGGCGTGTGCCCTGACCGGGAATCAAACCGGCGACCTTTTGGTGCAGGGTCGACGCAAAACTACTGAGACATGCCCTGGCCGGTTTGGCTCAGCAGTTAGAGTGTCAGCCTGTGGTCCAGAGAGACCTGGGTTCGGTTCCCGCTAAGGGCACGTACCTCGATTGCAGTTTGTCCCCAGTCCTGGTTGGGTAGTGCGGGTGGTAGCCACTCGATGTGTCCCTTTCACGTCGATGATTCTCTCTCTCTCTCCTCTGTCTCCCTTCTACTCTATCTGAACAGAAAATGGAAAAATGTCCTCGGGTGAGGATAAAAAAAAAACAACTATTGAGCCACACTGGCTGGGCTGTTTTTTTGTTTTCTAATGGTTCAGTTTAATTTTGCCAACTTGTTTTGGGTTTTATTCAGAATGATATTTGGATGTCTCCACATGAAGGCGAATTTGCATACACATAACTTTGATGCTTTCGGGTCCTCACTCTCAGAAATAACTTCTTCACCTCACGTCCCTCCTTCCACGCCCACCAAGAACAGAGGACAATTGTAACATTTAAACCTCTAGTAAACCAAAATGACCCCACACCCCATTAAGCAAAATCATCCTATTCAACCAGTCAAAACTTCCTCAGGATTCTTCACCACCCATGGTTATGGTACAGAACAGAAAGTATCTGTGTGTGTGTGTGTGTGTGTGTGTGTGTCCATTTGCAGACATCATTCCTATCTGTAAACACACACATCTATCCAGTCCAGATGTAGAAAGAGCATCTTGGGCTCCTTTAAAATCATAAGATTCTTAGCTCCAGTTCAGTTATGCAAAATATGTTCAAATGTTGCTTTTGAACAGGAAAAAAACACCCATAAAATTAATTTCTCCATTCCTTTTTTTTTTTCTTTCTTCCAAATCAACCAAGACCAAATTCTCAAAGCCTAGCTGACAATTACTTTTGGTGCTTCCTAGTTTGGGTTATGGCGTTGTTCACAAATGACAATATTTTCATGTGTGTGTTAATAGTAGACTTCTCTAAGAATGGCAGTACATGTAATAGTCCAGTTGGCTGGTTGCTACTGTGTTTTTGCATTCGCTTTGTTGTATTTGTGAGGTATAAATACACACCAAAAGAATGAGAGAGGGAGCCCTGGCCGGTTTGGCTCAGCAGTTAGAGCCTCGGCCCACGGTTCAGAGAGAACTGGATTTGGTTCCTGGTAAGGGCACGTACCTCGGTTGCAGTTTGTCTCTCTCACACATCGATGTTTCTCTCTCTCTCTTCCTCCCTCGCTCCCTCTTCCTCTCTCCCTCTTGCTCTATCTGAAGATGAATGCAAAAGTGTCCTGGGGTGAGGATAAAAAATAAAAAAAAAAGAATGAGACAGGGAGATGGAGGAGATGGGCAGAGTCTTAGGTATAAACACACAGGATGGGGAATTGATGAAAGAGAATTAGGGTTGTTCAGGTTGAGTCTCCACTGATTCCACGTGAGCTGGTTGATCTGTGAGGCATCGTAGAATTTGTTACATATCACATCCTGGGGGTCGCAAGCTCTAAAAAGGCAAGAATCCTGTGGCTCAGTGGTTGAGTGTGACCCTACATTAAGAGATGGCCAGTTCAATTCCCTGTCAGAGCACATGCCCGCCAGTGGGGGGCGTGCAGGAGGCGGCCAGTCGATGCTCTCCCCCCTTGATGTTTCCATCTCTCTCTCCCTCTGTCTCTCTAATATATCAATAAAGAAAAAAAATTGAAAACAAAAAAAAAGGCAAGGTTCCTTTCTGATCCACACTGTACATGCCTCTGAAATGTGGAAGAAACCACATTATTTTCTTAATAATTCAGAACTGGGATATTTGTGCTGCCACCACCGAGGTGTCTCAGAAGGACGTCCCAAGTGTCGTAGCCATTTCTCAGAGAAGATGACCCCGTTAATTTTCTTCCAGGGAACGAGCCTCCAAGCCCACCTGTCCGGGTTGGAACCGTTCACCACGTATCACGTTAGTGTTGTGGCCGCAAACCGCGCGGGGGAAGTGTCAAGCCCCTGGACTCCGGTTCGGACCCTGGAATCTTCCCCGAGTGGACTCGGCAACTTGACCGTGGAGCAGAGAGAGGACGGCCGGGCCTTGTTATTGGGGTGGCCGGAGCCTGTGAGGACCAACGGGGTCATTAAGGTAAGTCCCCCAAAGACGAAGTCACGTTTGGCGTCCTCGAGATACACAGATGCGCGCCTGACATGCATCAACCCCACGAGCACTCCCCGAGGTCAAAGAATCAGGGCCCACAGCCCTTAGCTCGTAGATATCTGCTTATCTAATAGCCAACCTTAAGGGAAAAAGAAAGCAAAGAACAGCATCGTTCCTCTTTCTATGGACTTGATTGACATCATCGTCCCAAAATTGATGTGGGCCTGTTCTTTCTGGATGAGGGTCATCGGATGAGGGATCACGGTGGGGAGGGGTTACCAGGGACAAGAAAGCTGCACTAAGAAATCAGATGCCAGCTGGGCCGGTGTGGCTCAGTGGTTGAGCATGGACCCTGCACCAACATGTTGCTGGTTGGATTCCCGGTCAGGGCACATGCCCAGGTTGTGGGCCCGATCCCCAGGGGTGGGGGACTGCAGGAGGTGGCTAGTGGATGTTCTCTCTCATCAATGTTTCTATCTCTGTCCCTCTCCCTTCCTCTCTCTCTAAAAATCCATAAAGAAAAAAAAAATGTTTTAAACAAAGAAATCAAACGCTAGAGTCACCGTTCCTTGCTTCTCTCCCGGTTACAGGCGTACCACGTCTTCAGTGAAGGGCGCCTGGAGTACACGGGCTCCAGCCGCACGTTCCTGTTCCGCCGCCTGGACCCTGGCACCGAGTACACGCTGACGCTGCAGGCCTGCACGCGGGCGGGCTGTGCGCACTCGGCTCCGCAGCGAGTGCGCACAGGCGAGGCCCCGCCCCACTCCCAGGGGCCCCCCACGGTGCAGCGGGTGGGGCCCACCCGCGTGGAGCTGAGCTGGGCGGGGCCCGCGCACCCCAATGGAAAGATCGTGCGCTACGACGTGACGCGCAGGTGCGCCCAGGGCGATGCCTTGGGGAACCGGACAGTCGCGGCCGCCGAGAACCTGGTGTTCACCGAGTACAAGACCGAAAGGGACGCCTTTGCGTACAACGACACCGGCTTGCAGCCCTGGACGCTGTGTGAATATAAAATCCACGCGTGGAATTCCGCAGGCCACACAGGCAGCTCGTGGACCGCGGCCAGGACGAGGCCGGCGCCTCCGGAAGGTCTCTCTCCCCCTGAGGTCACCTGTGTGTCCCCGAGTCCCCCCAAACTGCTCATCGCCTGGGCCCCTCCTGAGCAGCCTAACGGCATCATCCAGTCCTATCAGCTGCACCGCAATGGGGTGCTCCACCCCCTCAGCTTTGGCGCGGGGACTTTCAATTACACCGATGAAGACCTGCTCCCCTTCTCCACCTACAGCTACACGGTCACAGCCTGCACGCGAGGAGGCTGCCGCAGCAGCGCACCCGCCAGCACCACGACTCCCGAGGCTGCACCCCTGGGGGTCGACCCTCCCGCTCTCCGAGCCCTCAGTGCCACTCAGATCAGTGCATCTTGGGCACCACCGTCCGCTCCTAATGGAAACATCACCGAATATTTACTTAGATGTGATGGTCAGGAGCACCTCGCTGGGCAGGGCCTGTCCCTGCTGATTGCCCACCTGCAGCCTTACACTCAATACAACTTCTCCCTGGTGGCCTGTACACACGGAGGCTGTACGTCCAGCGTGTCCAAATCTGCCTGGACCATGGAGGCCCCACCCCAGAACATGGACCCCCCCAAATTGCAGGTCACAGGCTCAGAATCAATAGAAATCACCTGGAGGCCTCCAAGGAACCCAAACGGGCAGATCAGGAGTTATGAACTCAGGAGGGATGGCACCATCGTCTACACCGGCCTGGAAACCCGCTTCCACGACTTCACTCTGACCCCGGGGGAGGAGTATGGCTACACAGTGACAGCCAGCAACAGCCTGGGGGCGGTTCTGAGTCCACTCGTCACAGACCGAACCAGCCCCTCGGCGCCTTCCGGGATGGAACCTCCCAAACTGCAGGCCAGGGGTCCTCAGGAGATCTTAGTGACCTGGGACCCTCCGGTGAGGACAAACGGCCACATCGTCAACTATACCCTCTTCGTCCGTGAGCTGCTTGAGAAGGAAACGAAAACCGTACCTGTAAATACAAGTCACCCTTCGTTTGGTACCCGGGCACTCACAGTAAACCAGCTGGCGCCGTTCCACAGGTGGGTAGCTCACTCTCCACTGGGCAAGGGAAGCCTCCGTCCTTTCTATGGTGTGAGCCCTGGGTCAATTCAAGTTAAGATGGTAAAGCAGCATATGTGCCTTCCCAGCCCCCATCCGTCTAGCCATCCACCGTGGATGACCATGTCCTCACCCAGGTACAGCTGCTGGCATACTCCCAGAGAGCACGATCCTTCCTGCAGGTGCTCATTTCAGGTTTCAGAAATGTTTTCAGAAATGTTTGCAATTTACAATGTCTGCAAAGAGCACAGAAATGGGGTCAGTTCCTAAGTCTAGTCCCCCCTGGACATAGGCAGGTCCCTGGACAGTTCTAAGGGCTCCAGTGGAGTTATCTGATGCTCACGGGGAGAAAAATAAATATAAAAGATCTTATTATAAAGGATGAAAAAAGTACCGGTGAATGAGAGGTAGTACCAGCTTGGACTCACCCAAAGTTAGTGCTGAGGGAGCCCTTTTTCTGGAATCTGGCTCTTCTTCCAAAGATAATGAGACCCCTGTGACTGTATTTCCTCAACCCCTTAGGGTTGGTAAGAATGGTAAGGGGTCCCTTTCTGGTTTCTTCGTGACCTCTTTCCGGGACAGGGTCACTTTGTCAGCTCCCATTTCCTCGCGGTCCCCTCGGGGCGGGCATGGCTCTGCCCCCCACCTGCCGGGCTCTGACCCCCCACCCTCTTCCTGTAGCCTAAGAATTGCTAGGTAGTCTTCCCACCACATTTTAAGCCTCTTACATCCCCAGAGAGAAGAGTAATAAAAGACATTTTATGCTTAGGTTTTAGTAGAAGGAGCAGAACTACTTAAAAAAAAATTAAAGGCTGAAAGAGTTGATTTCCAACCACCGTTGGTAAAACTCAGCTATCATCTTAATCCGCCGATGTGTAGATGAGATCCCTCCTGTAATTAGGTCTGTTTTATAGTGCTGTTTAAATGACACATTCATGGTCTTATGCATCCACTCCTGACAATTATTTAGGATCGCATTAAATATTAAACAGTAATTAAAGCATCCACAGGTATCTTCCGTAGCTAATCCACATGCTCTGCGCCTCGGCATTTATCTTGCTGTGATTCAGGGTATAAAAAAGGCCCACGGTAGCTGCAGACCAGGGCACCGTGTACCGGCTTCCTCTTCACCTGGCTCGTACTGCTAGTTTTAAAAGTCATATCAGCCTGACAGTGTGGTTCAGTGGACTGAGAGTCATCCCATGGACTGAGAGGTCCTGGTTCAATGGCCGGTCAGGGCACATGCTGGGTTGTGGGCTCAGTCCCCAGTAGGGGGCGTGCAGGAGGCAGCCAATGGATGTTTCTCACTCTCTCTCTCAAAAAAAAAAATCAATTAAAACATTTTAAAAATAAAAGTCATATTAATTGCTCCTCTTTGAAACACTTATTCACAAAAATTTCTAGAGAAGAAAAGAGTTTTCAGATGTGAGGGGGGTAATTTTCCCAGGCTGGAAAAAAAAAAAAAAAAGGTTGATTTATCTAATAATCTGAGCAATGATATATAAGGCCATGAGAGACGTCTCTTCAGTATCCACAGGAATTGAAGATATGAATGACATTAATGACTGAAGTCAGACGATCAGGTCTATGTGAAGTCAGGATGCATGTAGTTTTGGGTTTTTCCGGCATTCAGTTTAATGTTTACTGACTGTCGATGAGTGTGTCCTCCTGGGGGTACCCCCCCCCCATGCTGGTCAGTAGGAAGAAAGACTGGGACTGACTCCGGAGAACCACTTGGAAGTCAGGTCTGCATAGCCATGGATTTGCTCACCACGAACCTGGCAGCCCATCAAGGTAGAGATGGGCGCACCAGGAATGGATAGAAAGAGGAAGAAACAGGGACCGGAAGGTGTCACAGGGGAGAGAAAAGTGTAATAACTAAGAAGGGGGGAAGGGAGACTGAAAGCAGTGATCAGAGGGCCCGAGGTGAAGGCGAAAATAGAAGCGGAAATATCAATCCCCCCCAAAATAAAGGGAGACAGGAAGATGCTCGAGGGGAAACTAGGGGTGCCATAAAATCGGTGGGGCTTGGGAACAGAGGCAAAAAGCAGTGATTCGCAGCCCTAGGCACTTACTGCTCCTGGAAACCCCTTTTGTTGGAAGGGGACAGTCCCTGCTATGTAAATAGACCTTTGCAAGTAGCAGGAGACCAGCGAGGAGACAAAACATAATTGATTGGTTGAGTTTAACTGGATGGCGATAAGGTGTCTCTGTGATGGATAATCGAGGGTGGAGCTGGGTTAACTTTGGCCCGGGAAGGTCTTTGTGTGTTGTAAGGGAGCGTGTTGTAAAACGTCAGGTATCAGGTGATGGGATTTATTACCATGGAGGCCCCAACTCCATGGTGCTCCTTCACGTCCTGGGAACATTCCTGGGGAATCATTCATTCAACTCCAGCTGCAGATTGAGGGAGAGCCCAGGGCTGCTGAAACCTGGTTCACTTCCCCAAGACCTGCCTTCTTTCGTCACCGGGTTCAGTGATCCTGCAGACTAAAAGAATCTGCATGCGGGAGAGAATCTTCAAAGTTAACTTATTCCATACACTTCTGCGCAGGGAAGAAGGGTGCCCACCCTTCGCAGACAGAGGCGAATCTTTATTTTGGAAAGCCAGGAGGATTCGAAATGTTCTAACCTTTATATGGAAATACAACTTTTGTTAATTACTAAACGGGTCCGCTATCGAGAAGAAATATAAACGTGCTGGCCTTTGTATCCGAAAACTCTTGATATTCTAAAGGTCCTTCCAATGAAAGTCTGTGTTGCCAATAACAGATCATTTCTGCCTCGTGTCCTGAAGGTATGAGGTACGAATTCACACCTGCACCCTGCTGGGATGTGCATCCAGTGACTGGACATCCGTGTGGACCCACGAGATGGCACCTGGCATGCAGCCTCCCCCCCACCTGGAGGTGCGGACGGCCCCAGGAGGATTTCAGCCCATGGTTTCCCTTTGGTGGACAGGACCGCTTCAGCCCAATGGGCAGGTTCTCTACTATGAATTGTACAGAAGACAAACAGCAAGTCAGCCTGGGCAGCCAAACCCAGTTCTGATCTATAAAGGAAGCTCAAGTTCGTTCATGGATTCCGGACTCCTTCCCTTCACGGAGTATGAGTACCAGGTAAGAGATGTGTATTTCAGCAACTCACACCAGGCCGTCGTCACACATCGAAGCCACTGGCGATCTGAAAGGCTGTGCAAAGACACATGGGGTGTAAGGAGGCTGGTAATATCCTTTAATCATCTTTGAGCAGTAAATGAGGGAGGAGAGACCATCTTCATTTGCCTTCCTTATTTTCTTAGTTCTTGCCTCGGGGGCTTGCTATTCCTACGTAGAGTTCAGGCAAAGTATGCGCGTGTCTCATTGATGAAATGGTTTCTATCATTAAGCCTCCCTCGATCAGTATTACCTGGGTAGGAAATACTGCTTGTTAAAAGATCACTTTGAAAAAAATCTCATTCATTGTAGCAAGACAAAATAAACTGTAATGGCCAGCTCCCCAGACCCTGTGCCTATGTTGGATATGGGATGTTGAGAAAAGTCTAGAGGACGATGACTAACCTGTGCCTGGGCAGGAAGTAAGTTTAGTGTAAGGACAGCCTGAGAAAATAGGACTTTGCGGTCCAGCTGGTGTGGCTCAGTGGTTGAGCGTCGACCCACTGAGCAGCAAGAGGTTGCCGGTTCGATTCCCGGTCAGGGCACATGCCCGGGTTGTGCGCCCGATCCCCAGTGAGGAGCATGCAGGAGGCGGCCAGTCAATGTTCTCCCTCATTGATGTTTCTGTCTCTCTCTCCCTCTCCCTTCCTCTCTCTCTAAAATCAATAAAAATTTAAAAAAATAGGACTTTGCATATCCCTAGAAATCCAAGAATTAAGAAAAATGTTCTGAAAGTATTTTGAAATCTGTAGAGAACGTGTGTTTTGTTTTGCCATCAGAATGCACTTGTGTTCTTATCGTAGCACCCCCTCTCTTATGGGAGAATGACACCCCAGCCTTTGCTCAGGCTCAGAGGGACTGTCAATCATCAGCTGTCCTCCAACCACGTGTGGCGGGGAGGGTGAGCAGCTCTCGGCCCGCAGCCTCGCCTGGGGATCGCCCTTCAGCCGAATGACTAAGAAGTTTAAAAGGTGGGGGTGAGAAATCCTGATAAAATCCTCCTAAGCTCCTTCCAAAAGCTTTTCTTGTCCCTGCTATGTCCAAATGTAGCTGTTCCACTGTTCTTTTCATCGCGTGTTCTAGTAATTTCCCCTCTGCTTACATGGAGGGGGTTTCTCCTGCCACAGTCCAAGCAAGCTCGCCAGGGAGGACGGCCCCTGCCCAGCACAGTGCCCAGAGCCTTTTCCCAAAAATCACGAAATTACTCAGCCACCAGGAAGATGGTGAGCAGCTCCGTGAGGACAGGTAACATCTGAAGTGGGAAAAGAGTATATTCCAGGCCAACAATGTACGGGATAAATTACCCCATGAAGTTAGTAAGAATTGAGAATATAGATGCTTGAAAGGTTTGGAGAAATACACAGATAATAAATCCATAACCCCTTGTCTGAAATTCCACATCTCAAAATCTCTTAAAAACAAAATTTTATTTTCGGATGTGGCCAAACTCGTGTGGCAGCAAAACCCAGTCTAAACGAAGTTGAGACTCTCCATAGTATCATTGTCCTGTAATGTGAATCTTTATCTAGTCGCCGGAGAAAGACTGTGTTTAATGACAAGGTAATTCTGGGGATGCTACAGACTACGCAGTCTATGCATTTTATTACCTTTCCAGAATCTAAAGAAACAAAATGATTTAAAAACGTATCAGGGCTCTGGCCGGTTTGGCTCAGCAGTTGGAGTGTCGGCCTGCGGTACAGAGAGACCCGGGTTCGGTTCCCGCTAAGGGCACGTACCTAGGTTGCAGTTTGTCCCCGGCCCTGGTTGGTCGTGCGGGTGGCAACCACTTGATGTGTCCCTTCACATCGATGTCTCTCTCTCTCTCTCTCTTCCTCTCTCTCCCTCCCGCTCTGTCTGAACAAAAAATGCAAAAATGTCCTCCGGTGAGGATTAAAAAAAAAAAAAAAAAGTATCAGGCCCCCAGGGTTTAGGGTCAGGGTTGTGTTTTGTGTTTTGCAGGAAGGAACCTCCTATCGATGCCACGGTTGGAACGTGGCTGGCCATCCCTTTGTTCTTTTCTCATTATCTTTTGTGAAACCTGTCACGTTATCAAAGGCCTCTCCATTCTCAATTATCTTGTCTCCCTTATGAACGAAAACACAGGTTCGGGAGAGAGCTAGGTGGGACCAGCATGAAATCATTGGCCTCCAATTAGACAAAATGAAATGACCCGGAGATGCTGAAGGCAAACAGGTGATTGTCGCCTCTTTGCACCCCGCTGGGCCATTGGGGTAAATCACTGCACGAGATCTGCAGAAGCCTCAGCTGGGTTTTCTGAGGAAGGGCCAACTCCAAGCGTGTGTCTTAGCTCGTCCGTTTTCTCCCCCGGAGGAGTCGAGGGACCCCCATTTCAGAGGGGAGATGCTATTTCTTTTGTCACGGTCTCCTCCATATTCCTTTCCCCCTCAAATGGAAGTATCTCATTTGGTTGTCATGACAAACTGACCTCAAATTTGAATTTACTGGCGAACCCCGTGCCGTTACAACCTAAGAACGATAGAGAGCTGGGGGGGGGGGAGACAACAACACAAAAGCTGCCCTAGCAGCCCCCAAGCCCAGTTCTTCCAGGAATTACTCTGAAAAGTATGGATTGAATGCTGGGGTGAATGAGCTAACACACCGGTTTATTTAGCCGGTGTTGATGCGGAGTCTACATGGACATGGAGTGAACTCACGGAAGTCATTTAGGAACTACTGTGCTGAAAGACTTGATGTCCCTTTCACCAAAGGACCCGTGGTCTTGGCGATGAGTTTGGATTCTCGCCTACCCACCGAGGGTCTGTGTCCTGGGCAAGTCGCCCTTCAGAAAACACCTTCATGGTCCTAGATCCATTGGTTCACCCACCTGTTAGTGCATTGACCCTTCTGCGGAGAGTTGCATTTTTGAGGTAGTTCAGATATCTGTAGGGGTAAAAATAAGAACAGGATCTGTCCAGAATTGAAGACCACATTCATGAGAAGGATGGTGATGACCTGTAGTTGGGTAGATGGCCACCCGCACGGGGCCTTGAGGGTGTCACCCATATCGCTCCCCAACACCCTCCTACCTGGGCCTGCTTCCGAATATTTTCAAATCCAGCAGGATTTTTTTTTTCCCACAGAAAATGCTCATTTCTGTCTTCAACCCTTTCACCATTGGGCTGGGCTAATAAATACAGCATAAACCTCCCAATTCTGCGTGGGGATGTCCCTAATTGTTTAGCAAGCTCATTAAGCCTGGAGTCTGCCCACGGGGTGCAGAGAGGGAACTGGGTGTGACTTCAGTCCCTGAGAAGCTGCAGCTGTGACCTGAGGGGAGTGAACTGGGGCCCAGAGGCTGCCCCCCAGGGCCTGTTCAGTCATATCCACACTCTCTCTTAGGGCGATGACTCACCATGGGTTCCTGGGGACCTGCCATGACTCCCCCTTCCACTGAATCGTGCTGTCAGTGACTTAATTCGTTTTCCGGAAACTGGCCCACTCTGACAGATTAGTGCAGTCAGCACCCGCACACATGCAGGGTCTCTGAGGCTCCTGCACCTCGAGGTTGGGGCTGGGGGAGGGAGAAGGAACCGTCAGCCTGGGAGGAAAGCCGTTGATTCTCTCGAGTTTGGTTGGGACCTGCAGGCTGGTGATGTGGGAGCCCCCCCCCCGAATGATGCCTTCCAACAGACCCCCCTGCCCCCCCCCAAATTCCATCTGAAATGTATACAAAGGAGGATGGGAGGAAAGTTTAAAAGACACAAAGGGACCCTCACTCTTCCTCCCCAAGACAGCTGTCTGGGGACCTCGGGAGGAGACTGCAGACCCCCCAACAAGCTACCAAAGTGTGGGTGACGAGCTAGAGAGGGAGAAGAAGGGACAGCAGCTTATAGTGCTGCCATCGCTGTTTCTGGACCTTTGAGCACACTGACCTCCCTCAACCTTTCTGCATCTAAAACACACTCCCTCCAGTGCTGAAGTCGGGGGGCCCGAGTGGGGATAAACTATAAACTATAACCGTATACTTTTACAAATTCTCAACAAACGTCTGGTTTCCCTTCGCTGGCCGTCAGAATCGATCATTTGTAAAACCTGACAGAATAAATTCTGACCTAAAGAAAGTGGATTTTTCTGATCGTATTTAGCTTTAAGTCGTGTCAAAGCAAGTACATCTATGAAGCCAACTCCAGGCAATTAATAGCTGCGTGATTATCCATCACCAAAATGGACATATGGGAATAACAGTAATGGTGTTTAGTATGGAAACCTAGTTTATTTATTTACAAATATATTGATTTAATACATTGTAAATATAAACTGTAATTGCAAATGAAGAATACATCTAATTTACTCCATTAACTACATAGAGAGTCCCAGGTAGGCCCCTTGAGAAAACGGACACCACCAATAAGGTATCCTGTCTATTCATTACAAGTGATTAAAAGCCAGCTTGGCCCTGGCCAGTTTGTCTCAGCAGTTAGAGCGTCGGCCTGCGGTCCAGAGAGACCCGGGTTCGGTTCCCGCTAAGGGCACATACCTCGGTTGCAGTTTGTCCCCGGCCCTGGTTGGTCGTGCGGGTGGCAGCCACTCGATGTGTCCCTTTCACGTCGCTATTTTTCTCTTTCTTCTTCTTCTTCCTCTCTCTCTCTCCCACTCTACCTGAACAGAAAATGGAAAAATGTCCTCGGGTGAGGATAAAAAAAAAAAGCCAGCTTGAACAAAAACACAAGAGGTCTGTTTCTGTTCACCGGCCTGGGACAGGGACTGAAGAAATTCCTTAAAACCCAGGAAAGAGCAAAGACCGGCCCCCAAGGCACCTGAGAAGTAGGACCGGAAGCGGTTCTGTTTGCTCTTTCTCTGTTTCCTGCGTCTCAGGGCGTTCTGTTTGGCTTCATCCCACAGGCGTCGGGGAAGATCCCCACGGGCACTGCCTGGTTCAAAGCCTCCCCTGTGCCTCAGTTTCTCCACCCTTAGGATGTGACCTGGAGCAGCACTGAGCGCGT